TCAAACTAATTCACAATTAGTTATGAGGAGATGTGATTTTAGGTTTGAGGTTTTTCGTTAAATCTAAATTCTCTCTTATTATTTCACATATATTTTAATTTGTGCTATTATGAGAAGATGCATTATAGCTTGAAATATTTAATAAGACTACACATATACCATAAAAATATAACACATTATCACAAGTACAATACTCGCAAGGTAATTTTAATGATGTTCTGGGACACCATAAGGATGACTCATCTGAAACTAAGGGAACATCAGTTTAGAGTGTTTCTATATATAGAAATAATTGCAATATTTAGGAGATAGTATTTTAACTACAGAAATTATATTCTCTGTGTTAGCACATATTCAGTAATCAGAAGACACATCTATGCTTAATATAGTGGCAACTTTTATTTTTATTCTCCTTAAGGTTATTAGCAATGAATACTAAATGCACCTTGAATTTCATAGCTTGGGTGTGTTAAGTTGAAAAAAAAATCAAGTATTTGTCTCACAAATCCAAGAGGAAAGGTAACCAATTTGAATAGATGGCCCATCCTCACTTCAAATTCCTAAGTCAATCCAAGGGCTCTGGGTATCCTTTGCCTCATACTGATTTCATGGTCATAGGGCACTTAGCCAAAGGGAAGGAGTAGAGATAAAAATCACAACTGACAACACTTTAAAAAAAACTTGCATTTGGGGGAGCAATTTTTCTCCATGTGGCTCTCGCGTTCAACGGACAACAATATTCTGCCAAACTTAGTAAAGTATCTTAAAGTTTTTTACTAACTTTACATTAGTTAACATTTGCTCCCTTCACTCTCAATTGCATTTTTTTCATGCTCCTCAAGAGCAATTCTATGACTGCCTCACGCATTTTACAGGACATAGCATTTTAGTGGCTGCAGGGGGATTCCTCAAAAATGAAAAGTAATCCTAAAATTACTATAGTATCACTAAATGATTGGGAAGAGCAGCAACTCCCTTTACACAGTCCAAGTACATGTATACACTTGAGTATAGCATGCATACATATTCCCAATGTATAATTTCTTCAATATATACCCAGATGTATATATGAGCCAGTACTCTCAATTGTGCACAGTTAAAGTCAGGATGTTTAAACTCTAAAATAAGCATTTCATTTAGAAAATTAAACATGATTGCTCACCCAGAACCAAACTCTACTACAACTCTCACAGATTGTTTTATTGCTGGAAGAAGTTGTCAAATGTAAATAGGTCACTTTAAAAAAAAAAAAAAAAACTAAAAACATTTTCATTCATCCCCCCCACAAAAAGCACACTGGGGCCAAGAAAATTAATTCCCCGAATGCTGTCAACCGGGTTGGGAAATAGCAATAAACAGCTTACTGTAAAGCCCCTCCAGCTACAATAAACCGGCTGTCAATAAGCGGACTGAGAGCTGGGCTGTGCACAAGCAGGTACTCTGGAAATGATCATCTGAAAGGGAAAGGAGCTGACGTGTCTGATTCCAACATGCTGAGGCAGTGGTTCTCAAAGTATGGTCCCTGGACTAGCAGCACCAACATGGCCAAGTATCTCGTCAGCAATGTAAATTTTCAGTGCCACTGGAGCTAACCCAATGGCACTGACACAGAACCTCTGGGAGAGGGCTCCGATAACCCACGTTTTAAGAAACCCTCCAGGAGATTCTGAGACACCCTAAAATTTGAAAACTTAACATCACACATTATAAAAATAATAATCCCACAAAGAATATATTTTCCTTTTAGAAAAATACACCAATGAGCTTTATCCCTTAAAGTGCTACTGGAATTGATTATGTTGTCATCCTCTTAACGCTCTAACAGTGAACTCTGCTTCTTTGTGAATAAATATCAAGACATGACCTTGCTTTTTTTTTTTTTTTTTAAAGGGACATTTCACTCAATTTGTGAGTGCTAAGGATACTTCCAAAGATTCATGTGAAATATTTCATGGAAAATCCAGTGGCCGATTTGGTATATTTGAAGAAAATGAAAGCTCAGTGAAAGAGAGGGGATGGGGAATCTGGTTTCCAATGTTCTTCAGGGTCACACAAGGCAAAACAGAAGGGGAACAGGAGACAAAGTAAGAACCAATGCACTCTAAGCAAACTCATGGTACAAGAGTCAGACATTATGTTTTCATTGTATAGATGATACAAATTAATGATATTTAAATTTGGTAACCCTTTACTCAAGAGTCTTGGAATTTACTCACACATCACCTAGCACCAGTAAGTGAAAAGGTATTCCTGTTAACAGCAATCTGTGCCCACTCAACTAAAAATCTTCACAGATTATATGTTTATAAATTCCTTTGAAGGCTTTTGTTGTAATAAACCCTACTTTTTCAAAATCATGTAGCTTCAGGAGCACATTTTATATAAAAGCCACCAGTTGAAGTGAAGGAGCTGAAAAAAGAATTTTTATTTTAGCTTAACTAGAACATCTTCAGATAACACTCTTGTGGCTCAGTTAAAAAAGGAAAACTAAAGGATAGTATATAATTTGTGTTCTTCATTCATAGAAAATATGCCTCTTTTATACTAAAATTATGCATCTTGCTATCACCATCACTTCTCCCTACTTCCAATATTCCTTTTCTTCAACACTGCAATTTTTCTTTCTCAGCATGAAAACTTGTAAAAGGTAAAAAGCAAAGCCATTTCAATAGCTCTTTATCATAATCGTGAATTATAGCTATGTCTGAACATCAAAATGCCTACAGAGAAACATGGTCTCAAGGAATGTCTAAAATGCACTTTAGTTCCAGTTAGAGAATTAGTCAGCATCCTATTTTAAAGATTACGTCATACAAATATTCTTATGACTAAGCCTCAACAAAGTATCTTTTCCATAATTCACTGAAATGCACTTAACATTTTTGTCTCTGTACTACATATAGCTTCAACTCTTGCAGAGAAGTCAGAAAAGTGGGCCTGTACGTCAATGCTAATACACACCACGTTTGCATCAAAAGAAAGATGATGTCGGAAGAATGTCAGTCTCTTCCTTTGGAAAACAAATTCCAGAATTTATGTGAAAAGTTTCCATCATGTTAGCTTTTTTTAAGATATTATGCAAATCATAAAATCTCAGTATATTGTGAGTGAGCTTCACATTAAAAGGTAAATTTTAGAAAAGCCATTTTCTTTTAATAGCAACTTCATATTTAGCTTCATAAATTACATGATTAACTATTTACCAACTTTTATAAACCTTTACTAAGCTCTGAAATTTTCTAAATTTTACAACACCAACCTCTCTTAAAAAGCTGAGGGAGATAACATAAAAATATGTCCTTCCAACTTGAACTTCTATCGAAAAACTTCATACTCTCCTCTAAAATTTCTATATGGACTTATTTTAATTCCTTTCTTTCTGTGCATTTAAGCTCCAAGTATGTGGACTTTCAAAATGCTCTAGGTATCTAATCTTTCACTTTAAAAAGTAGAGATTATAGTTGAATAATCTATAGGTATTATGCTTACTGTTCTGGAAATATCTATGTGATTCATTGACAAAATTGTTTTCGTAAGTATCTTATTACTACCAAACCTTAAAGTCATTCCAGAGCAATAAACACTAGAGTGTAAGAGGAAACTAGACTTTCAATAAAACATTCTATCTCACCCCACCCCCACATACATAACAAAGGAAAAACTCTTGAGTTTTCAAACACTAGGCAACAACTGTCAATACTATTCTGCAAATTTATTTTGTTTTCCTGAATTTTCTGAAATCTGTATGTCCTTTATTTTCAACAAACTCAGATGGGCCATCGCCATGGGTGGACTCCATACGAACAAGGATAGCACTTGGATTACGAAATCCTAGAAAGTTGGTGTGGTGAGAGCTGATCGCAAAAGAGCAAGCAAATGAATTTAAATGCTAGCTGCTCCAGAGCAACTATCATTAAATAAAAGGTATCTTTGGCTGTAGCACCAGCTTGATCCTTCCCTCCCCCCGTTCTTGCTACTGCGGGATTGGCACCTGGCCAGCACAAGCGACATGATACCCTAGTGCCATCTACAGGCTATTACTGACACTCAACTTTCATGGCAACAGACAAGCACCAGTGAAATAAATTAGACAGCGCTGCATTTAAATCTTTATTAACAAGGAATTATTAGACCTAAGAAAAACTAATTCTGGATTTGGTTGAAATATGAGTTTCTCAGCCTCTTAATCCCTCTTCATATGGCATATTTCACAGTTTAAAATGAGTTATGACAGATCACTTATGCATTACTAAGATGGGAGACTATTTACAATGGATTCATTCTTTTCTGTATAAATTGGTTATATCAGGGAGAAAGCATTCCTTCTATTTTTTTTTTTTCCTTGAAAGAGTACTTTGGCCATTATGGACAATTTGCCAACCTTTCTATTCAATACCCAATTTACTATATTACAATGAAATCATCTGAAATCAAAGAGAAGTCTTCCTATATGGCTTCGTTGCAATCTATCGACAATCATGTGCTTCACAGCTGATGTACGTTTAATAATCTACTATCTTGTTTAGAGACTAAAAAAAAATTAACCCCTTTAGCAACCACAGCTCCAAAATAATTATGGTCAGACCTTCAAACGTCATTTAAAACTTGGGATTTGAAGGTGACTTTTTAGATCAAAAGGTAATATGAAAAATCTCAAAGCAGTCAATTTGGAAACCCCAGGAGCAGAATTTGGCATATTAGGACAGGTTTTCTTCTTCAGCAAACATTATCTTGGGACATTTTTGGAATCGTTTCCTCTTTTCATCTTTTGTCATTTGAAGGAAACTGGGAGGTTAAATAATTCTCAGAACTCAGAAATTTCAAAGCTGTTCTAAAAATTCTTGACTGAGCCCCAGAGGAACAGAAAAGGGGTCAAGTTTTTTTTCCCTCTTTCAAATTAAGCTAAAGTTAGACCAAACAATAGACACACTGGCACGTTAATACTGGTTGACTGGGCACTTGTATGCAGTACTTATAGACCAGTAAAAGTGCTCGTTTACCTGTCTGGTGTGTAAGGGGCCCTTTGTCTTGAAGCCTCCTTGGGAACTGCACTCTGAGGCACTGAAGTGATCTGAACTAGTGGAAGAGCGTTTGGAAAGGGTGTCACAACCCCCGACAAAGGTGTTGTCCAAAGGGAGTTCCTGAATCACATGATGCTTTTTCACGGACACTGGAGTGTCTGGTTTAAGATGGAAAGCAGGCTGTGGAGAAGCAGATTTGTAGTGCTTTGCCAGGTCAGGGCTGTTAGGCTTGAAGGTGGTGGGAGGGGCCGGGCCCCAGTCAAACCTTCCTATGCTTTGCTCCTCCAGCTCAGCTGGCAGACTTATGGTCCCGTTGATAGGTTCGTGCACTGCATCGTCGGGTTTGGACTCTTCGATTGTAACAAAGTTCAAAAGAGAGCTCTTGGGAGACTTTCTTTTCTTCCTTTTCTTTTTCTTGTTTTGTTTGTTCTCCTGGTTTGGGGACATCCACTCAGCACCCTGCTTGCTCCTCTGAGCTGCTTTAAACCTGGATGCATGGCGACAGCGCACCAGGACAGTGACAAAGATCACGACTATGACCACCATGGCACCTGCGACAATGGCGATCATGATGGTGAGATAGTCCTCGTTTTGATAGGGCTGGCTACTGTCCCCTATGTTCCTGTCCAGTGGGGTCTCCATAGTCCTGCGAATCAAGTCATAGATATAGGAGGCATTCCCAGCAGTGTCGTTAACGTAGAGAAAAACAAGCACGAGTGTGTGCAAAGACTTCGGGTATCCCAGGTCACTTATGTTGACCACCAAACGGTGCAAGCCCACGTCAGTAGGCGCTGGTTTCTCTTCCAGAGTAATGTTACCTGTTACTGGGTCAATCCGAAACAAGCCTTTGCTGTTCCCACTCACAATTGTATACTTGAGTTCCGCGTTCATCCCCGTGTCAATATCCACGGCGAAAACTTCTGCTACCACAGAGCCAGGAATGGCCGAGAGGGGCACCAACTTAAAAGAAGTGTTGGAAGGTGGAGAAATGACAACTGGGCTATTGTCATTGACATCCATGACATTGATAGTGACTTTTGCAGTAGAGGAGCGGGGTGGTTGTCCTCCGTCAGTGGCTCTGACATCGAAAGTGTAGGAACTCTGCTGCTCTCTATCAAATGAGACATTTGACTTTATGACTCCAGAATAGGGATCCAACACAAAATTATCATTGTCATTTAGAATGGAAAGAGTCACAGCTTTATTCTCCCCAGCATCTGCATCTGTCACTGTGATTACCCCCACAGTACTATACTTTGGCAGGTTCTCAGACACAAAAAATTGAAAATGATTATGAGTAAACTTGGGGCTATTGTCATTCTCGTCCAGAACCGTAACTATCACAGCCGCTTGGCTTTGGAGGGGAGGGGTCCCATTGTCCCTGGCAGTTACTGTAAAAATGAAACGTTCTTGTTCTTCTCTGTCAAAGACTCTGGAGGCTGTCAAAACTCCTGTTTTTCGGTCCAGATCAAAGAAGGAGGCATTCGGCCCAAGCTGATAAACAATGTCCGCATTTTTCCCACTGTCTTCATCTGTGGCACTAATAGTTGTTAAGTATAACCCACGTCGGTTGTTTTCAGAAACTGACAGCTCAATTACAGGCTGGTTGAAAATTGGTGGGTTGTCATTTTCGTCCTCAAGCTTAACCCTTACCAGGGCAGTCTGATTTAAACTGGGCTTCCCGGAATCAGAGGCAACAATTTTAAAGCTGAATTCTTTGGTGCCCTCATAGTCCAATAAAGAGGAGGTCTCTAACAAATATTGGTTGTCGTACACCGCCTTCAAATGAAATGGGACCTCTCTCTCAATAAAACAGATCACTTTGCCATTCACATCTGTGTCCTTATCTGAAACTGTAATTAGGGCAATCTTTGTATTGACAGGATCTTTCTCAGATAAATACACTGTGCCATTGATGGGACTTATAATGTACCTGAGGTCTATGTTAGGAGGGTTATCATTTACATCAGTGACATTGATGGTAACGGTTGCACGAGCGGGTGTGGAGCTGCCATCACTAGCCAGCACTGTCACTTTGTGAATGGCCGTCTCCTCTCGATCTAAGGACCTCTGAACTGTTATCAGCCCAGTAGTATTATTTAAAGCAAAGAGTCTTTTGGTTGCAGGGGCGACCTGGGCACCAAAAATGTACCGTATTTCAGCATTACTGCCTATATCTGCATCAGTGGCATGGAGCTGAATTACAGAAGTGCCTACCGGAGCATTCTCTGGAATGTGCACCTCCACTTGACCCTCTTTAAACACTGGCCTGTTGTCATTTACATCACTTACTGTGACCTGCAGTATGGCCGTGCTGGATTTCTGTGGAGTGCCTCCATCCTCTACTTTGATTTTCATCACATAGGTATCTTTCTGTTCTCTGTCCAAGTTTTGCTGAACAATCAATTGTGGCCACTTCTCTCCCTCCGGAGTTTCCACGATATCCAGTCCAAAAACACTCTGCCCATTTAACAATTCATAATGCTGAACACCATTGAAGCCTGTGTCAGGATCTGTTGCTGATGGAATTGGAAAGCGGCTGTTGATCAAAGTGTTTTCTGGAATGGAAATATTGATGACAGGAGATGGAAACATGGGGGCATTATCATTGGTATCCTTGACAATTATTTTTATTTTGATCAGCCTGAAAAAATCATTGGGGAGGATCACTACCTCAAGTTCAAAGAAACACTCATTCTCCTCAGCATAAGAGGCTCCAGCACAGAGTTTTTCTCTGTCTATTCTATTGGAGGTTGTGAAAATCTCCCCAGTGCTACTGGATACTTTCACCAAAGGGGCATCCCCAGCTTTAGAAACCAGTCTGTAGACAAGGCTGGCACTGGTCCCTGTGGCAGCATTGATGTGAGAAATGTTCAGATCCTTTGGTATGTTTCCTATGGGCACATTTTCGGGCAATTCCTCTCTAATAGTGTAAATAAGTTCTTGAGCTATTGCGGAATCCAGCCTTAAACAGGCAATCAGAGCAGCCAACAGGTAAAAATCCCTCAGGTCCATGATAATGTATTTATTTTCTTTTCCCAGATTTTAGGGTTTAAGGGTTTCCACTGAGGAATGATGCACGAATTGCAAGAGGAAGCGTGCATGGACTGGAGGAGGCATTACATCTCATCGCTTATTTGGAGACAGCCACTGTCAACACAATCGTATAGACAATATTATTCTTCAGTAAACAAAAACACACAGTCATGAAATATCACAACACATTTTCCACTGCATATTAGTAAACATGGCAGTTTGCTCTGCCACTGTTTGCAAGTTAACTCTCTGGATGCAAACATTAAATAGCCACTGCTTGTTGCGTTTGCCCAGAGAAAATGAAATTCATCTACTTTTGAATTAAGGACAGCTGCTATTTTTACCTGTACTCACCCAGACTGTTTTTCAGGACACTGTTTAATTCAAAACATGCATTCTTATGTTCTCTTCTTCCCCTCCCCCTGTCTTACCCGCCTCCTGGCTTCTAACCCAGCTCCCTTAGTTTTTTTAGGTGCAAGTGAAAAACACTAAGTATTTAGCTATGGTTCCTGCTAATTGCTTTGTCACATGTCGAATGTGATGTTTTCTTCTCTGCTACACTGAGTCATCTCTTTCGTCTAAAATGACTATCTTTTTCTTTCCTCCCAGTTCTTCAGCTGCCTTCTCATCCAGTCTTACTGGGAAACAAGCATCCGGACATGCTGCTGCAGCATCAGAAGCAATAGTCACCGGCCACTACATATCCTCATTGCCTAAAAGCACAATACCAAGACTTCAAATTTCCTGCCCAGACCTTGCTCTCATTTCTCCATATTGCCAAATTCTCCCCATTTGGATTAAGAAGCACACTAAAACTTTTAAAAATGTATAAAACAGGATTCCTTATCCTAGATGTGGAGGAGAGTGTTGAGATGTAAGTGAAACGCAGCTAACATTTCCATGTAACAGCACAATATTTCCTACTGAGCATAGAAGGAAAAAAAAATGCAGTTTCTTAACCCTGATCCCTGGTTATAATATTAGTAACATCTGCCACACATAAATACTGCAACCCAATAACGCAGGTAAAAAGGCTTCTGCTTAGATGCTCCCCTAACTGCAATTTAAATGGGTGCAAGCCTCCAGGCAGCTACGTACTTGAGTAGAACTGGTCAGTTCCCAGGCTCTAATCTTATCTGCATCAGGCTGCACGGTAGCTGATGCCCGCGATTAGTTCCACCAGAGTGATGCAGGTAGGGATGCAGATACAGCTTAGTAGGTAAGCTCTGCCCCAACCGTCTACCCAATTACAAACATCCCTCGTCCACACTGAGGACATATCTAAACACAAAATTTACAATTGTGCATGCGAAACTTTACACTTACGTTAGTTGCCTCAACCTTTCCCCTTTCCCGGTATGCTGCAGTTAGGAATGATTTGTTCCAACACATAGAAAGCCATGCATCTGGTAGCACCAGTTTGGGGAGAAATCAGAAGCAGCAAAACGTTTCCTCCTTGTAAAATGTGTTGCTTCGGGCTGGCAAATTAGCAACTCCAGAGAACAAATTCACAGATTTGTCGTTAGTCATTCTCTCCACATTTCGTCTCTATTACCCACGGGGTCTGGGCTCTTCTGGTATTTAACACACACACAACATCCAGTTGCACTTCTTCAGCTCTGGGGTATTTTCCACAGCATCAAGCATACCATTTCTCTCCGATGTCAATACTGCTTAAGTCTCTAACTTCTTGTAGGAAACGTCAGAGTTGGGGTGATGGTTAGTCTCCTGCTGCTCTCCGGGATGACAGTTGCCTGAAAAATTCCTAATCGGTTATCTCTTTCGTGCTTCAGAGACTCTAAGGCGCTCCTTCCTGTCTTGCATGCTCTCCCTCTCTCCCTCCTTCTCTGCCCCTCTCTCCTTCTCCCTCTCCTCTCTCCTCTCTGAACTGAATTTCTTGATATAACTCTCAATAAGCCCAGAGGGAGGGCGTGACTGGCCGAGCCCCGCCCCCAGCTCCTGATTGGCCCGCATCTTGCGGTGCGGGCGGCCGCAGCCCCGCGCGAGGGAGGGGGCGAGGAACAAGGCACTGACTGTCTCCCAGCCTCCCCTCCTCAGCGCCCCCTCGGCAGCCGCGAAAACCCGGAGAACTGATCCTGGCCCCGGGAGAGCCGGGTTCCAGGAGGCGCACTGAGCATGCCCAGCAGGGTCCGGCCCGGGAGGGAAACGCTGGTGCTCCCCAGGCCCGCGCGGCTGCCGCTCTCTCGGCGCGCGAACCGGGCTGAGGGCTTGCTCTGTGCCGCGCGGGGCGGGGAACGGCGGAGCACCGGTGGTGGGACGGCCCGGGGCGGCGCGGGAGGCTGGCGGGGGGCGCAGGCAAGGATCCGGGGGAGCCTCCCGCAGCGCGGCGGGCGGACGGAGGACGCCGAGAGGGCTCATCTCCGGGCGCACATTTCGCACTTGTCTTTACTAAATGGAGGGGCCAAAATGCAAAGAAGGGAAAGAGTCAAACCCGGGGTACGGGGCACGATACGCACGGTCACCCCCTCGGGAGGGAGCACCGGCCAACAGCTCTCCGGAGAGCGTTCAACAGACAACATGCCCAGTACTGCAACTAGAGGCTTTTGCTGGCAGGAACGCTGGCGAGAAGGGCAGAGAGGGCAGACAGCGAAAGGTCGGGACAGGATATTTGAATCTCAATCAAGACCGGAAAGAAAATTAATTGGAGCACTTCCTAGAAGCGGGGTGACGGAAGCTGCCGGGGGAGGGGGTGGGGGGCGGAAGAGAAAGTGGCAGCGTCCGGGAGCTCCCTTGATCAGCCCTAGGCCAGTCTGGCGTTCGGTGGGAAGTCGCAGGTCGAAAAGCGCGGGCCACGGCGGCCGATCCTAGGTGTCCTTGCGCTTCGGCTCCCGCGGTGGCCAGAAACCTGGGACCCGAGCTCGCCCGGTCGCGCGGCGGCGGCAGCAAAACCCGCTTCCAGCTCACCTAACTGCAAACTTTGCTAGCGAAAGGCTGGCGGAAGGAATTTGTCCAGCTGCTCCCTCAACTGTAGAACATTTCCTTTCCCTTTGCACTTCTGATTCCAACTTTAATTGTAATACTTGTCTTTCCCTGCGCCTTTCTGACCTGCTCTGAGGCGTATCCTCACACGCTTCTCATTTTCATACGAGAGCTAAATGGAATGACTCCCGAAAGGATTAGCTTTGTTCCGTAAATATTAGACCCCCACTTTTTTTTCCTAGTAATAATGGCCAATTTTTATTTTGTTCTATGTGCCAGATACTTGGCTAAACGTTTTACAAGCATCATTTCAATGAATTACCAAACACTTTTTTTTATTGATATCTTAAAATTAGTAAACCACGAAAATTTGTGTAAGGGGCGATACCTATAATGGCAGATACCTAAGTTTGAGGCATTAATAACAGTTCTCTTGGAACACACCAGAAAGTATTTTTGAATGACCTATAAAGGTTGTCTGAGAAGGTCTTAATGCATGATGGAGTAACTTGTTCTAACTCTAACTCTATCCTCTAACCGAGGATAAAGAGCATTTATTTTAAACCTCCGTGTTCCATATTCTGTACTGGGCTGTAGATGCGTTAAAGGCTCTTCACATAGTTAGGTACTATGATGGCAAATTTAGGGGGTAGCTTTTGTTTTTTAGTACATTTTTTTTTCAATAGGAACAACTTATTTTTAGATATTAAAAGGAAAACAAAAACAAAAACAAAACAGTCACTATGCCTACCACACTTAGATATTGTATATAATTCCTTTTTTTTTTCACCAACTCGTGTGGCATTACAATTTTCTTTCATCTATGAAAACATGAGCTCCTCTTTATTCACACTTCTCCAGTGAATATTCACAGTAAAAGTGCAGTGCCTAAAACCTCACCGTAAAATACACTGATCCCTTACATGTAAAATATAAAACTGGTTTCTCGCGAAAAGGTTGATACTGTTTTTAAATAACCTATATAACAGTATTTTATAGGATTAGAATACATAAATTTAATAAAAAGGGCTGTTTAAGTATCTAAAAATAAAAAAAAATATCTGATACAATGTGAATTAAAGGAATTCTTTTATCTTACCGGTGATGATGATTTTGCCATTCACAAAATCTAAAGTTAAAGCTAGTACGTTGTTCCAGCCGTCACCCTCTTTATGCTTTGGACTAGTTTAAAATAAATGAACCATCATCCTGATACATTTATAATAAACACAGCAGCACAGCCACTTTCCAGTTCAATTCATAAGTATCATGCTATCTCACATTCCCATTCTAATCATACTGTAGTCATTTCAAAGTTCTGTTGTAATCGCAACACATAGCTTAGCAATAATTATTTAACCTTCTTACCAAGTGTAATTGTTTCTGTTTGCTAAAGGATAGCTTGACTTGTAGTTAGAACCCATTATTATCCTATGCTCATAGATGAAATCTTAGAACACAGATGAAGGTTAGGGAAGAGAAAAAAATCATCTCATGATTAAATTTATGACCATGAGACTCCAATTAATGGAACCTACAGGTCAAAGCCTCCAAAAGTAAGTACCTCTAGATTCTTTGTGAAGGAAATTGAATACAGAAATAGAGCTGACTTCAGTGCATCCTATTTTGTGTTTATTTAGCATTTCTAAATTATTGAGCTTCTTTAACCGTACCAGCTCTTAAATCCAGAACGACTGAAGCTCATTGTTTGCCCTTATAAATTATAAGAATATATACATTACAGAATGAGAACTACGATTAGAGATCTCATTAATATTCCAAGAAAAAAATAACTTGAGGCTTCTGCCCAAAACAGTATATAGAACATGTTCATAATGACAGCTGCTCACAATCCACCTCTATTTCAAAAGTTAGGTCTGTGGATTTATGATTTGGGAAACAGTAATTTTAGTTTTTCTAGGGAAATATGTTGTTTTTCTGAATTTTAGACATTTTTCCTTAGTGAACTTAAAAAAAATTAGATTTCCAATTATGACTTCTAATTCAGAGCTTTCAATATGTATACTAGATATCTAATTAGATCTCTTTAACCCTTATTCATCTTTGTCAATGCATGTGGGGTTCCATAGACAGGAATTAAGATGTTCTCACCTGTGTTGCACCTGATTAGGACTTTAGGAATTACATCATCTGGGCTGTAGTCAAATTGCCTTTGGTGTTTTCTGCGTGTTATGTAAGTCATGGGACACTTGTGAAGCTAAGTCACCTTCAGCCAGCTGACTGAAAACTAAAATGCTATTACAGATTTCTACGGAAACATGTCAAGTTAAAATTTTTAAATTTCAAAAATTTAATGCTGCAATGCTTATATGTATTCAACAATAGTGTCCATGTAATAACATTTAATAACTTAAATTATGACCTGTTTAATTGGATTTTCATTTGAGTTTTCTAGTTATCGTCCAGCATTTTAAAATTACTTTTCACACGGGTTGCAAAGGCTTTTTAAGAAACATTGTGTATAAGAGACAGACTGGTATTTGGAATGATCAAATGACCTCAAGGATTTCAAGACTAAAATTTTAATCTCTTTTATACTGGTTCTATATTGTAATCAAAGTTGAAAATTAAATTAAAAATATACTTCCCATGCCCTATACTTCTGAAGTTCCTTTAATCCATATAGCTTATTGTGTCTAACAGACGTTAATCAATAACCGGGGGTCTAATGTCCCAGCAGGTAGTATTGTCCCCATTTCACAAAAGAGGCTACACTACTGTAGCGTACTTCTAGGGGGAAAACTGTGTGAAGATACTAAAGGTTATTTGTATTATCACTGTTTAGAAAATGACAATGCAGAATTTTAACACCACAGAAAGAAAATTAACACCTTTTAAGGCTGTGCAAACTGGGAAAGTGGTAAGTTTCTTGAATAATTCCTTTGCTTCACTATTAGCTCTTTCCTTTGAATACATTTCTTTTTTTCTTTAAGGAATACCTAGTCCAAGGTAATCAAATCACAAAGGAAAGCAGGTGACAAGAAGCTTCAGTCTGTTTGAATGACTGAACTAAATTTATCCAAATTTGCTATATTTTTATGACTGACAACGATTACAGATGTCAGGTTTGTAGCTCTAACGTTATTACAATATTAACTGACATTTTCCAGTGCAACTATTTTATCATGATTACTATATAAAGGAAATATTGAATTTTCAAATTCATTATTGGTTATGTAAGACTTAAGGTTATATACAGACATAGCAAAGCTGTCATCAGTGGTGTACAGGTAATCACTCAGGAAAACATGAAAAAGACTGTAAAGAGAACATATATGTTTAACTCTAATTTGATCACTTTAAAGTCATATTATTTCAAGTGAAATAAAACATATGAAACTTCTTACCTGTGTATGACATTTTTGTGGGTAAAAACTGTTAGAATATCAAGTATGATCTATTCAATTCATATTTATATAAATGTCCAAAGATGAAAAAATAACATGCACATTTGGAAGCACCTCTATTTATGCTTAAAAATAGAGATAGAAAAATGTTCAAGACAAAAACACGTTTCAAGCACAATAGCATCTGCCCAAGGATAAATGCAGAAATGATTTTCTTAAATATTAGGACTTTGTCAAGTTAAAATATAGTACAAGTTTTTTATTCTTTCAGTACTTCCTCGATAAGAGTATGTTGTTGAAAACAGAACTTTGTATTACTTGAAAAATCATTCTAGTAACTCATTCTGTACCCTCCCCCAAACTTCTTCATGTCTGTAATTTTTTCCTGTCTTTTTCAGGACAAATTCATATGATATTCTTCTAAGAGCCCAATTTGTTACATAATGTGCACATAAATAGACTTAATATAGGGCAGGATGGATAAGCCTCATTTTTCTCTTATAATCTCCTCTCAGGAACCAAATTCAACCCACAGTTCCCTCTAATTGAATTAGGATGAGTCAGGGAGACTATGCATATCCCACGGACTCCGGCAGCCCTGGCTTA